AGGGCACAAGCATGCGGCTGTTGGCGCCCAGTTCTTCTCCAGGTAAGAAGGCTGCGAAGGCCCTGTCTGAGGCGTCCCCGACTAGTTCCGTCGTCAGTCATAGGGCTGGTCCTTTCCGCCAGGTGGCTGTCCCGTTGCGCCTGCCCAGCAGCTCCATAAACAAGCCTGCCTGGTGTAGCACCTCCGCCGGGTCCCAAACCTCTTCGTCCCACGCCACGCCCCGGGCTACACGCCACACCATCCACGCTGACGGCGGGCGTCATGGCGATGATTTTGCCGGCCACCTGCGCCACCTGCCGCGCTGTTAGCCGTTTGCCTTCGAGCTGTGTGAGCAGCGTACGGAATCTAGCTAGCTTGTCGTCTGGTACTCTGAATGCTTGCGCCTCCGCATCCACCTCCATCCCCAAGAAACAGACTCGCCTTCTTGGGATCAGCTGGCACTTGGACAGGCTGAGGGTGAAGCCTAGGGCTGCCAGCAGCCGTACCACCGCCCCACACTCGTACTGTGCCGCGGCCTTCGACCCCGCGGCACCCATCTGGTCGTCTATCAGGAAAGACATGCGGACCCCTAGCTGCCGTAAAGGCTGGAAAACCTCGAGCTTCATGCTTGTGTACAAGTGGCAGGCCGGCGCCAGGCCGAACGGCAGGTGTGGCCAAAAAAGCGTCTGCCCCCGCCACCACATAGCCAGATATGTGTGCTCCCGTTCGTGGAGTGATAGCTGCCAGTACCCGCTCTTGTGGTCCGTGGTGTACAGCCAATCTTCCGGTAAGAGGTAGCTAGGGACATCTGCCAGTCGTTCATACTTCACAGGCCGGTACCTCAAGAAACAGTTAATGTACATCGGGTTAATACAGAGGCGCAGCTTTCCGTCTTTTTCCACTACCCGCAAGCCATTGATAACCGTGGGGGGGGGCGCGTCTGCTGGCCATTTCTGTATCACCCCTCGGTCTAGGGCCTTTCTCAATTCGGCTGTAACAAACTCACTGTGCTGAGTCGCGCTGCGATGGTTAGGAAACTGCACGGCTCGCGGCCGGTCACCCGCCATGATAAAGTCTAGGTCGCAATCCGGCGCCGCGACCCGCAGCATTTCCCGCACTATAGCTAGCTTGCATCCCCGCTCCGGGGCTAGTTCTTGCCCTGGGTAGTCGCACGGCACCCACTCCAGCTGAATTCCGCCCTGCAGGTATCCCAGCCACCGTTTCTGTTTGTCCGTGAGGGGCCGGCCTTCGTTAGCTGCCTGAAAGAACACTCGCCACACTGCAACATGTAGACGTATCCTTCCTGGTTGGAAGTCTTCAGGATCTGGGAGCAAACAGACGACCTCTTCGAGAAACTCCTGTTCATCCCGCGGATCTACCGCGTCCTGTTGCCCCAGCCGCTGCAACCTCTGCCAGG